TAGTTTCAATAGACAACATTTTAGATAATGTTTTACTCTTTTGATTTCCATTCCTTCTTCTTTCTCACTCTCCATTCAAGCTTTTGTGTGTGAATTCACCACAAAGACTTTGTCCACAATTTCAATTCCTACCTTTTTTCGTATACGGAAAAATTCTCTCTTTTTTCTGGGGGCCTCTTAATGTATCACTGGATAGTGAGTCAAATTGGCTCACTATCAAAAAAGTGGAGCTCGAGTCACTTTTAATTTATTCTCGAGAGATGTTTCTCCATTCGGAAAAGTGTATTAAAGCAGATCACAGCGTGAAATTGTGATACAAATATAGATTTTGAGTTAATGAATATATCAAAATAAGGCGCAAATGAATAATTTCCAACACTCTTGTTCTACTATTTCTGCCACAGAACTGCGTTTCAGTGCATTCTAATCGACAGAATGAGAAAGCAAGAGGAAGTTAGCTTGATTTCCATATCAAGTTTTCAACACCTTTAATTGAATATGTTTAGTGTTTATTGATAAAATAAAATGAGCATACATTTTTCTACACAAAACTCTACCCGTATTCCGGATGGGCTCATCTCTGGGCTCCAAACTAATGGATTGAGACAAGGGGGAGATAATATATCTGTACACCACTTCCAGACACTTCCACACTTCCTCTGCAGAATCTTCAACACGAACTTCTGACTTATCACAAATCTAATCCAGATTTTGCCGTCTCAAGAAGTTTAAGTTCTTCAAATGCTTAGATTTTGGATTGAAAAAATTGATTTTAATGTTCTTTGATTCGTGAAAATGTTAAAAAAAAGACTTTGGATCAAATTGTGAGGTTATGAATACGGCTTAAAAATCTTTTTTCACCAAATTTGAACCTTTTTACACCAGAAAATTAGTGAATGTGACGTTAAATTTACCATTTTTAAGCACAAACCGCCGAAATAACTAAGCAAAAAGATAATTTTCTAGACTGAAATACAATTTTTGAGGTTATGATTGACTTTAAAGCCTTTTCTCAACCAATATGAAGTTATTTTTAACAGAATAAGCTCAACTTTGCCAAGAATCAAAGAAATAATTTCAGATTAAACATAATTTTCATGATTCTGTCTTAAATAAATCACATAACCTAGAAAAAAGCAATAAAATTGATTTTTCCAAACAGAATTATGAAGAAAATTCCTCAATTTGTTGAAATAGAAGGTTTTTCAGTGCAAATATTCGATGTATTTTTCCACTTCCAATTCCTGAACACTCTCGTGAAGTTGTACACCACTTCGGATCATAATATCTGTCCCTTGGATTGAGATTGGGATAGTGAGACACCTTTTCACGCGCATGTGACTCACGCTGTGGCAGATAATCATAATATTTTCCACACCTTTCTGGGTGTCGATGATAAAATACAAATTTCTATCACCTTCAGTGACGTTATCGCGCAAATTTTCAAGACATCGCGCGCTTTTTCCTTCTCTTTCGCTTCAAAGCCCCAAAATGCACAAGTGGCGGCATTTCCGTCTTTCTCAGGCCCAGGAAAAATACAGGCTCCTCTTCGCCCCTCTCTAAGAACCTTTTGCGGCATCGAGAAACATTTCTAATTAATATTTTTCTCCAACCGTCAAGTGATTATAGAATGAGGAGTGAAGCCGCGCAAGCGGAGGACAAAAAAAGAGGAACCCTCAAAATTGATGTGTTATCGTGTCACGAGCGGCTCTTTCATGTATGATGGGTGACAATTTTTTAATCGATCGTTGACGGATTGTGAGTTTCCGATTGATAGTTGATTTTTCCGCCGTCAGTGGGACTGTTTTTTTTCTTGTCTGTGCTTTTGGCCGGCGTGTAAAAAGTCTTCTATTATTGACAGTAAGTTTTCTTATCAACATCGTAGATTTCAAACAGAGTCTCTTCGACACTTTCGTGAAGGAGTCTTCTCAAGATCTTTCACACTCGCGAGCGTCTTTCTTCCCTCGGCATTCTTTAATTGATTCAACTGTCAGTAATATTCATGGCAAGTCCGCGTGGACTAATGCTCAACCATAATTAATTATCAGAGTTTATTTTTGAAAGGCTCAACCGACGTTGACGGTTCACCCAAAATAAGTTCAAGTAAGGTCAAGATTTTGTATAAATAATCAATTAATAAATTAACCCGAAAAAACCGTACAGCAGAAGCTGTAGACAAATTTAGAATATAAATGGCTCTTGTGTGAGAGAAATTAGAATTTATATTATCGGATTCGAACATGATCAGAACCTTTCTCTTCGAATTATTGCGATGAAATTTACGATGACAATCTCAAGAGTTTTGCCATAGCAAGTTTTTAGCAAATATCAGGAGATTTTTCGAGTGTTTTTTTTGGAATATTTTCTTCTGATCATCGCACATATTTTTTCCCTCTCCATTCCCGCGGGACTTGTGCATAAAATTACAATCATGACATTGTTGGAGATTTTCCCTTTAGCATTCCAATTTCATTGCAGTTTTCCATGTAATCTCTCTCTCTCTCTCTTCACTGAATACCATTGAGAAGTTTCACAGTATAATTTACCACTTTGCAGTGTATCAAAGAGCATTTCCCCAGTTACACATTTTCGCAGGGTGAAATGTTGGCAAGTGGTGGAGCACTAAATCTCCATTCCGCCCTTGGCCGGGCATCCCCCCAAGAGCCAAAAAGGGGGGGGGAAGAGATTGCAGAGAACCCACAAACACGTTTCACAGCTTAAAACAGTCTGATTGCATTACATAAATTAGACACCTTTCTCTCTCAATTGAGGCACTCCCATTGTTGTCTGCATTCATCTCTCCTTTTGCCCAGGAGAAATTCCGACCGCTGAATCGCGCACGGCGAATTCCTTCCTCGTGTTCTCAAGTGCATTTAAATGGCTCAGAAGAATTGCCATTTTGTGCAATATCGCCCTCTGCACAACTCCAGCGATGGTATTCCGCGCGATGATGGCCAGAGGAGGATTGCTAAAGTGCTCCTGAAGTAAAAATCTTTTATTGTTAAGCACTCGGGCTTCAATAAAAATTCGCATTTCAAGCTGTACAAATAGTCGAATTTTCTCGTGCCAAAGCGGCAAAATAGTGGAAATACTTGAAATGTTTCCCAGCAATTTTCACCCAAAAGCATTTTGCCAAGGGGGCGAGAACACAAATTGAAGCTACTTTTTCTCTCACATTCAATTCAACTGTGCGAAGAGTAGTGAAAATATATTTCATAAATCTCTAAATCCAATCTTGTCGCGTAAATTTTCTGAATTCACACCAAGGATAATCCTCCTTCAACAGTTTGTAGAAAACCCCTCGAACATCGTTGAAATAGTTCCCTCAAATGGAGTATCTTATTCGTCATTTATCACATGATTGTGCTGTGCGCTACTTACCATCTCATGCAGAGAAACTATACATTTTCCGGGTGGTTTGGGGTTGCTTTCAGTGCCCCTCAGCACTTTTCCCCAACCACCCAATCGCACCCCCGGTGAATCTGGGATGCGATGTGAGATGGTGGATTCAATGCGAAAAGACACACTTGTGCCGCACGCTTCCATTTCGACAACTTCCACCCCCCCGAGCTCACCCCCCGGTGGGTGGTGTGGAGAATGCAAGAGGTGCTTTAAGTGTTGTTTCATGTCACCTGAAACAATTTGGACAAGACTCGCTCTCACTCCGTCTGAAGGAGCTTTCCTTCCATTTTTGAGCTCCTACAATCTCCGTGTAGCATTTAACACGAGGAGATCCGGAACAATGGTCGGGGGTGTGGGAAATTCACGAGAGGGATGATGATTACAAAAGAGCACATATCGCATACAATAGAAGAAATCACCTGACAAATTTATGCATCATTTATCACTGAGAGTGCTTTTCAGGACCTCTCCATCGCTATTCCGGAGACAAAAGGTGGCTGAAGAATAAAATTAAGCATTGTAAACTCAGGAATCAAGGACCCATGCGGAAGCCTAACCAATTGAACCTATTAAATCACCCCTGAGATCCTGGCAATTAATGCAAAAAAAAGGGCAGAGCACATAAGCCGTGCCCAAGAAACAAGCGATGAAGAGGTAGAAAGGCTGTAGAAAATACGGAAAAACACTGGTACAAAAGCTCATTGTTGCCCAATGTAGGGGGAGGGGGTTGGGGTTAGAGGGAAGCGAGAGGGAGAGAGGAAAAAATCACTATAATATAGTTGACACAAGTTCAAACATAATGAAAACAGCTTGTCGTGGAGCTTTGTGAGCCAATAGCCACTTTTTCCCGAGGATTTGTCCGCAGTTGGGGCTGGAGGTGGGGGGAGCCAACCACTCCTGAGGGGGTGGCTCGGGGTTGCCGCTGAGAGAGGGTCATGTACGAACAATTTTATTTCGTGTAAAACCGAGACGTCCTGTCACAATCCTCCGCGTCGTGCTACAGAGGAGATATTTCACAAAAACCCCTTCCTTTTCCGGGGACAGGATGCCTTGCGAGGCAGCCTCAATCGGGCACCCCCTGCCACCCTGAGTGCGACAGAGAGGCTCATATCTGGTGGGCTGCTGGTGAGAACGAGTAGCGTCGATGGTGACGATTTCGGCGCATGCCGACGCGCTTTTTGGGGTAAAGGGGATTGCTCGTCCTGCGCCGTGCCAGACGCTATCCTATCCAGCTCCGAAGGACCCGAGTGTCACACTTCCCCGACCCGAGTGTTTCGATGTTCGAAAAGGCGTGGCCGCACTGTCGCCACGCCCGCCGACTGCTAACACTCCAGTACCAGCCGACCCACTGGCAGCGTTGCCACTGTGCCCCTCTTTGGCAAGTCTGCGCCTCAATGGCGGCCCATTGGCCGCATCGCTGATCCGATAGCCCCTCGAATGGGCGGAGCCACGTGTCAGTGGCGGCGCTTCTCTCACGCAGAACACCGCATCGTGCTGAGTCTCCTCGAGCCGCCACGGAGCGGGCAGTCGGTGCAAAAGCGTTACACTGTGCGCATCGGTCCTACGCATCCAGAGAGTGAGGCACACAATCTCTGACGATACTTTTCGGTCTTTTTTTTTTCGAGAGACAATCAATGACTCTGTACTCCCCTCTCGCCCCCCACGAATTCGACTATCCTTGGCGAAGGAGCTGTGTGAGTGTGTGAATTGTTTGGTGAATCTCTCCGAACGTGGGGAATTTCCTACCGGAGGACACTCAGGGACAGATCCCTCCGCATGAGGAATTAGCCTGGAGATGACATCCTGGCATGGGTTGAGCCTCCAGAAGGGGTGCGCCAGAGAGGAGAGGCATCACATGAATTGATACTACCCCTAAAATGCTGCTCACCACCACTACAAGTGGCTGAGCTGTGGCATCTCGACGGTGTTTTATTGTGTGATAAAGTGCTTGTGCAACAAAAGTGGAGACGCAACGCACCCCAAAACAGCACATTTGTTTTTGTTGTTTTTATTTGATAACACCGAACAACACCCAGTGAACACCGGACTGTGTGTCTCTGAGAACACTTGGGCTGTCTCTGGGCCTAGCGAATGTATAATCGGGTCTAGAATAGGGGCTGTTCAAGGGCAAGGACCTAGGCTGGCATCCTTGATTGTGTTGTGCAGATTGGTTTAGCAACCTAAACCGCGCGGTAGGGTAGCCAAGTTAGCCTGATTCTCAATTCGTGACCTTGACACCCGCAGCAACGCATAGTGACGGAATTCGGAACTCTTGACTTGGGGAATGGGTAGTTTAGTGCTGAACTATGGCTTCGGTGGCTGTTCCACTGCCTTCTGGGATCTGCAGAGGACGAAGAAGAAATCCCCGATGTAGTTAGTGTTGAGATACAGCGGGTATCTTTGGCATAAACATTCACGGATATTCTCTATAAGTGTTGTGAGAACTGAACTGAAATAGTGCAGGTGACTCAAATGGCAGCATATGCGCAATTTGGCTACAGTTACCCGTCGGCAAGTCAGGTAAAGAACACACTTTGCCCTCTGCTTGGCTCCTCTATATGTACTTAGAACCGATGGTGAATTGTCTGACCACAAGGAATTCACCTCGATTTGATGTGCACATGCACAATGAAGAAAAAGAAGAATGCTTATTAATTGGATAGGAGTGAAATTTAATTGCAATCTTTCCATACGCATCGCCGTGTGAGATATAGTGTACAAATTTTTCTTCTTTCGCCATTTACATAATTTCCATGCGTGCTGAATGATTAAGGCTTCTTTTTATCACTTCGCATCACGAAGACCTTAATTCTCCTCTCCATACTTGGCGTTGCAATTTTCTCGCGATGCCCAGTAGCGATTTTCATGAGTGGCGACTGCAGCGCCCCAGAATCGCCACAGAGACACACACACATGACGGGTGGTCTGTCGGGGAAAAATGTCGCTAGAAGTGGTTTTTCCCTTATCAATTGCCACTAGATTGCCCCCCCTCTAACGGGCGGAAGACCATAGATGGTGTGTGAGTGGAGAAAATCATGTGAGAAAATTGTGAGATTGGCTAATTAATTTGTACGCGCGAGATGTTCTCAGCAAAGCTGTCACGAATTCACAGGTCCCGAAAATGTATTGGAATTAATTGTGCGCGAAGGGACCCCAATTGAATTACAAATTAATTTATCATGGACAGACACTCGCCGTGAAATTCCTTCATGGAACTGTCGTGGGAGCCTTTCTGGTGGCATCTCGTGGTGTGACTTTTTTCTCTCTTCACCCTTTTCTGAGGGATGCGCAGAAGTCTCGCGGTTGCGATGAGGGGTCGCCCTTCTTGGGGGGCGACAGAGAGAGAGAGAGAGAATTGATGATTTTTGCGCTGGGGAAGTGTCTCAGGCGCTCCTCTCCACTTGTCTTAGACGACCAACTAATGAAGAGAGAAGAGTTGAGGATCGATAAATAATTCATATGAGTTCACCTTGTCGAATCCTATTCATTTAATATTTAATAAAACAATTTGGCGCTCTTGAATTCTACCTTTTTCTGTCGCTGTTCATCCGCCAAAATCCATCGTGTATTCCTTCTTCATCACACATTTCTAGAAATGTCAGAACCCAGAGTTGGGATTCTTATGTAGAATTGAGTAGAAAAATGATTTAAAAATTTTTATATTAAGAAAATACATTTTATGTGCAAGAAAACGCATTCAAATGTCTGAAATTTGAATTTTATTCCCCAAAAAAAACCTGAAGAATTGTAACCTGTATTTCGCGAAACTAGTCAACTTGTTTCTTGTCTTCACTGGGAAAACTGCTTATTTGTAGAGCCATGGCGTGTCTTTTAAATTACACATGTCAGAAATTCGCCCAACTCTGGCCGGAAAGCCTATGCAAGAGAAGTGTGCTTCGGAGCATAGTTTGTGTTCGTATGAATTTTTATTTAGGAACTCTGCGATGATTTTTGATTTATTGCTCCTAATATTGCCAAGAGATTTCGCATATGTGACCATGGTTGCTGTTGTCCCTGTGCCAAAAACTCCTAACTTGTTCCTTTGGCGCATTTTTTCTTCCGCACCAAATCGAAAACCTGCAGTAACAATCAATTGACTGCTGTAAGAGCATCCCTTTTATGGCATAAATGTCTCCTGTGATGGCAGATTTTTGATTTACGATCTCGATTTGTTGAGGGGGGGGAAGAAAAAATTACCGTGGAATTTGTACATTACAAAATTGTCTCTCTGCAACGGTTGTGTGCCGTATTTTGTGATCGCTTACACCGCGGCCGTCGACTAACGATCTTGCGGGACTGCTGCGGATCGTGGATGTGGAGACAGATGAAGATATGAGACAAGGGGGCCACAGAAAAAGAGATGAATCTCTTATCGAGGCAATTTTTCGCAAAAGATGATCAGTTTCGCCCAGAGACGCCACGATCGTCACAAGAGTGGTTTGGGGGGATAAAAATGTCGTTAAGTGATCGCTTCTGATTTTAAGCGCTGGCGCGCACAAATGCAACAAGATAATAACAATAATGACGGCGAGATACTAATAAGCATTGGCGCACCAAGGAAGAATGCCTGTAAATATTTATAAATAATTATATTAGCAACAATATTCGGTTTGGCCGCGAGACGCTTATCATTTTTTTCGTGCATACTTAATGCCGATCAGCAGTCTCTGCGCGTTTTCCTTCCTTTTTGGCTCGCGGGGGACACATCCGCAGACCCGGCGATACTATCAGCATAGGCTCTGGCCATTCCAGGGGAGAGACTCGCCAGCCGTCTTCTGCGCGCCCTTTGCTTTGTGGGGCATTTCGTGGACAGAGGAACTTCTGCAAGTCGCAATGAGCTCGGGGGCGCCGCCGATATATGGTGATTCGGTGTGTCGATACCACTATAAATAATATTATTGCGTCCTGACCTCCGGCACTTTTCGCCCGCCGCTGACGCTAAATGGCCTCTAATGATTTAAATTGACTCTCTTGAGCTCCCGCAGGAGGAGGAAAGATGGCGAGGAGACACTTCCATCTCCCTCTCGCACTGCCCAATTAAGCGCACCGGGTTGATTGCCTCGAGGGTGAGCGAACGATTTGATCATCGTCTTGACATTTTACTGCCCAACCGATCGTCGCTGGGCCGAAGGGTAATATATTGCTGATATGGGCGAAATGTGACAGATTTCGCCGGTTTACTGATTTACAGAATGCAGCGAATTTCCAACTCACGCCATAATCCGATAACTATGAAAAGTCAATTTTTCCCAGTTTACGTTTTATGTATTTTTGAAAAGCTTCTTATTTCTTCTACTTCTACAAAAATTTGGAGGTTTGTTTCTTATGAAATAATAGTAAAAAACCTTACTTTAACTGGATATTTCTCATATATTTTTTTAATTTTTTCTCTTGAAAAGTATTAAAAAAAAAGGTTTTTTGAACTTTCTGGATAAAATGTACTCAATGAATATTATAAATTGACTTTGGAAAGTAATATTAAAAGATTTTATATTAACTTTGCTACATTTTTGTCAAAAATTTCAATAAATACCAATAAAATTTATTGAAAAAATTTGAGAAAATAATTATCAAAATGTGTTTTGAGGGTTTTGATGTAAATTCGGCAAATTTCTCAGTGATTTTAACTCTAAATCCCCAATTTGCGCTCTTGAAAAATGACGATTTTGACTTTCCATACTTCTCGATTTACAAATGACCAGACAAGGTAGAGTGTGACAGACAATCGGATTAGTTTAGCTTGTTAAAATATCCAGTGACCTGAAATTGGAGGCACACGATCAAATTCTCTTCCCTTTCTCAAAATTCCTCCGACCCAAAAGTGAAATATTTGAAATTTTCCCACTCACTTTCAGTCCTGAATGATAAGACAAACACTCATTTAGTCAAATATACATTAATCTGTCAAATAATATTATTATACACTGAGCAGTTAAACATTGTGTAATACTTTAATGTTGGACGATTATTTAATTAACCGCTCGATCAATATAACAACGACAGCAACATCCTCAAGTGATGTCTCAACTCAATGCCCATTCAATTTGCCTTGTCTCGGGCGGCAAACGCCGAAAAAAAAGTATATTAATTGTATTGTTCCACACACTGGAGCTGGGAGATATTATATGTGAGGGAAAAGGCCGGCATATTTGGTAAATACTTTTGGCTCAGCCTTTTGATGTTGCGGGAGAGAAATTTCTGGGGACTCTTGTGCTGTCTTTTCCGCATTAACAGCCGTCAAATATTCATCGAGAAGAAGGTAAATAGATGGGAGATTGGAGGTCCTCGACAGTCTCTTTGGCTCGCGATACCGCGTGCCCGCGAAAGCATGGGAACTTTCTGGTGTGTGTTTGGAAAAAATTGAATAAACATTTTTCCTCTTAATTTGCTGGCGAACGGAGACGCCAAATTGGTCGTTGTCGCCAACGAGTGGCTCTTGTGCTCTAAGGCCAAATTTGGCCAATAAAGTGGAGCCTCAAGATGCGATCATGTCAGTGATCAATAATTGATCTCGTAAATTTTTCCACCGACTCTCTGCGGTGGGAAATTCACGGTGCCACTAATTTAATTCCCCTGGCGATAAATTCACTTCGCGGAGGTTTAGGGTTGAGACGCGCACAGATCAATAAAGCGTCAAAGGTAAAGGCTTCTGTCCTTATCTGATTTCCAAGCTGTGTGTGTGGAGAGCAACAAAAGGAAGGCGTCTTAGAAGATGGTCTCGCCAGAAGATACTCCAAGCCAATGATCATAAACACTTAATTATGCAAATCGATTTGCGTGCTTGAGCAATTAGCGCAAAAGGGGAGGCAATTAGGGCGGCTATTGAAGGGAGATATAAACCTGAATGACGTAAGAGTGTCGTAAAATTAGCAATCTCACCCCCTGCTGAGACACTTCCGTCAATTCCCCATTGACTTTGGGCATATCGTGGATATTTTTCTGCCAAACTGTCCTAATTGAATTAGAGGAAAAATCATTTAAAAACCATTCCGTTATTAGTCTAGACTCGTTGTAAGTCAATTGTGCCCATTGTGTGCTGCCATAAAATGGGCCCAAAAGTCTTCTGACCTGCGTATGTACGTCTCATGGTAAGGTGGCAATTGTCTCTATAGTGTTTACACCAGAAACCAATGTAAAGTCAGCAATAACGGCCGTTACTCTCAAGTGGACTTAAAGTTTAATTAGTGTCAAATGATATGCCTCAGGAGGATTTTCACTGGCCAGTCTTTACGGCTCGAATGCGACGTCATAATTCTTCATATCCCAAGACGACTGTCAGACGCATGAGAATGAATAATTTTGTGATTAATAGCAACCGCCATTCACTTTGCCTACGGAGAACCAACCACCTCGGCTTCTTCTTGCTGCTTCTCCGGGAAAAGATCAACTTCTGGGCGGGAGAAGCGCCGCGTGGGTGGGAAATTCATTACTAATTATTCTTGTTACAACACAGAGGATGGATAGGGGAGAAAGGCTGTCCTGGAGACAGACTTTCTAAGATGAAAAAATGCATCATTCAGGTATTGGAGGTGAAAAGATGCCCAACAAACCAGAAAAGCTAAAAGAAAGCAGATATTTTAGCTGAAAAATGCTAAGGCGAAGAATCAATTATATATCAATTTAAAGTAAAGATATTTCAACTATTTTCTTCAGTTCATTTAGCCATTTTCTTAACAATTCTCCTACTTTTCTGCTGTTTTCCGCTAAAAATTTTGCTAAATTCGTGTGCCGCAATTTATACACTTCTCTTGGGCGTTTCTTTTACTGACAAAATTTCCCGATTCTATGAATTTCCTTCGATTTTTACGCAGAATCAGGTGAATTTGGAAGTTTTTGGAAGAAGAGTATAGATTTAAAGCATATTATCTCCTCCTTGGGGCAAAAATCTCAGCGAAAAAGCGCTAAAAAATCAGCTTTTTCAGTCTCAACTCTGAAATCTTAGCATTTTATGCCGGCTGGGTGCGAAAGGATGTGGGATAAAAATCCGAAATGCCGCCTAGAATTGTCTCCCACAAGCGGTCCTCGGAAAGTGGTTTCGGAGAAAGCTCCATAACAAATCGCACGCCATTATGACGGTGTTCCCACGGAAGAATAATCCACGCGTTTCCATGACAATGCGCTAACCCCCCAAAGGCTCCACAAAGAGGAGCACGGAGCAACCACTAAAACGCGCGTTACACCATTCAAAAGCCCAACAACATCAATGACGTTGGAGGTATTGTGGCGAATGGTAAACAAAAGTGAGCAAATGGTACGCTTTTGCATTCAAATGATATTACTATGGGATTTGTCTCATTATGTTTGCATCTCATCAGTTGGGTTATGTATAATATGACAAAGTGAATTGCGAAGTTGACAAAACGCGAGCAACTAATCTATTTGCACTTGTTAGCATTGTTGAACTCATGAGTGGATAATTTTTGTGTCTCTGTGTGTGTGTTTTGCTGTCTTTGTTGGCAAACGCGCTTGAGACTTTTTGGGATGCTTTTTCCCTCGCGCACTGAACATCCGTATGATTTTTATTTGCCGAAGCTCTTTAGCAGTCAAATTAAACTGGGGAGGAAGTAAAAAGTACTCGGAGACGTAATCTTCTCATCTCTGCGCAAGATGTTGAGTCACATCCTTCAGGGGGACTTTAATTTTACACTCTGTTTAGCCCCCCAAAATCACAGAGAATTTGAGATACAGTGAAGCGAAGTCCATGAGTGGCGTGTCATGCTGATTATCACACCTGAGAAGGAAGGTGAAGATGAGGCGAGGAATGGTTTTTACGGGGAAAAAGAGCCACTTGAAATGTGATATTGTTGAGATTGAGTGTGAGATCCGCGCGCGAGTCTAGGAAAAAATGTCAAAATGGAGATTAGAAGAGCCTCTCCCAAGATCTTCGGCGACGTGGACAGCGATATGGAAATCATTAGGCGAGATTGACTGATCGATGCCTTTGGCTCTCTTTGCAGCTCCTTGTCGGCGGAAGTGGCGGCACAAATGGCGGCCAGCCGACCGGGGCGACGGGCGCCCCCGCGGGATCGGCCCAATCGCCCATCTCGGCCACCAACGCGCCCTCGCTGAGCCCCGTGGGCTCCGCCACGGGCGCCGGCCCGGGCGCCCTCAGCCCCGGCTCCCTGTCGCAGACGTCCACGAACGCGCCGGCCGCCTCGGCGTCGTCGACCTGTTGCGAGAACGGACGCCCCATCATGACGGATCCCGTGTCCGGGCAAACCGTGTGCTCCTGCCAGTACGACTCGGCCAGGCTCGCGCTGTCCAGCTACTCGCGCCTGCCGGCCGCAGGCGTGGGGGTGTACGGCACCCCGTATCCGTCCACAGACCAGAACCCCTATCCCAGCATCGGCGTCGACAGCTCCGCCTTCTACTCACCACTGGTAAGTGCCTGCGGAATCACAGCTCCCCGGAGACGCTTTCTGATAAACACTTTCGAATATCTCAAGCTCTCGACACCCTTTTGCTCTCGCCACTTGAGCTGAAGGCGCGCACGAAGGGAAAGAAATTCATATGGGAAACAGATCATAGTCGCTATTTTAGCAGCACTCAACGGGTCGTTGCAACATTACAGATTTCGCATTACAGTTCGTAAAAGATACGAATTTGCGTTGCAACTTTATACTTTTCACAGTTTATATTGGCGGCCACCCAGTGGCGCTAGTGTAAATTACTTGCAAGGTGCAGTTGAGAGTTTATTTAATATGAATTTCAACTGTCAAACGCGAAGAATCACTTCAACAAGACGCAATTGTGAATCAAAACACAGCTTTTTATATTCTTGGAAATGCTTTGGAAAGTCAATCAGTTTCCTCGGAAAAGGTCAAAGGATGTCCGGTAATACATAACCTCAATCTAGTGCAGTGAAATGTGCACAAATGACACGATAAATCCTATAAATTTGTACTAATCAATCTGAAAACGTCATTATTGCCAATTTTCTTGAATGCAACGTGTATTTTTCGGATTGCTTACAAATTCATATCTTATATTTTATGACAATAAAGTTGCAACGACCCCTTAATTGTTGTACGCCGGAAAACTCCGTGATTTGGAAAGAAACGAAGTTCTTGATGTGATTCTTCAGCTCCTTGTGAAACAACCTGACATAATTGGTTTATATATAGATTTCAACATTTGATACAAGTGCCGATGAATAAATCAGACAATCTGGGTGAAATTGGCTGAAAGCGCTCAAGTTTGTTGGTGATAAAATCACTGATGAACCCGCGCGATGCGCCCAATTTTCCGACACGGATCTGTGCATGCTTCTGTATACCTTCGCCAGCTCCGAGCCATTCGTCTGCTTAATATTCATGACGTCGCCTCTGAACACCTCACTTTGCGAGGAGCCTCAGAGATTGCACACAACTCTCACCCATTCATCTCTTGCTCCTTTTTTCCCGACGCGCCCCTCGCGTGGAATGCATTAGAGAGAGGCGCGCAAATGTTTCCCCGCGCCAAAGTCAGCGCCGTGAATTTTTCACGCCATCGATTTTCACCTGGAGAGCACACTGTGCGCTATCAGAGCGAATTCTGATGTTGGGGAGATTTGGGATAATTGTATTTGTTGTCTATTTACATAAGTTTCCATATCTGAAACATATGTGACACACAATAATGGGCTCCAATGCGTGCCTCTCGCGCGATAACACCACCGATTAATTCTAATATGAATTAAATACACCGTGAATCTCTCAGCATTTTTCTCGGCCGCCGCCATATCGCCCATGTTTTTTCGGGGATACGAAAAAGGCTTACGGATCCATTAAATGTCGGGCCATGTGAATTAGCGTCTAAGCGAGATAAAATGTCTGGGGAAGTTTGAAAAATGCTGCGCTGTTAAATGAACATTGTGAAATGAGATACTAAATAAGGATGATATTTGAATCACCGAGGCTAGAGAAGAAGAAGGGACATGTTGAGAGGTAATTCGATAGTTGAAAGTATATCAAATGGGATTAAGATGTGCATTACAGTGGATGTGATTGAAGGGATTAGTGCGAGGTAAAAGTGGATTAATTTGGAGTGTGTTTTTCGCTCTGAAGAGCATCAAGAAAATGCGTCAAATGATTTGAGTGAGAAATTTCTTGCATTTGATGTTGGAAAGTGGCGAGAGAAAAAAAAATCTACAATTTTCTTCTTTAAATCTATGAAATTCCAAAATGCCAGAGAGAGAGAGAGAGACTGAATGAATAAACATGCATCTGAGATGATGTATTGCGATGTTCTTGCGCTTGTTGTGGGAAAATTCGATTGGTCTAATGAAAGTCAGCTGTCAATCAATAGAAATATTGCCACAAGTCAGCAATTACTTGCGATACGACGTATCAGTGTGAGCCAAAACAATGCTCTGGATCCTCGCAGGCGGTTTGATAAGGCGCGGTTGGGCATGATAAAGTGCCTAATTAGTGCATATGAATTGCTTTTTAATCACACCGCGCGCAGAGCACCTGATTGAGGATGACGCTGACAGTGAGACGAGAAAGAGAACCAAGAAGAATATGGTTTTTGGAGACAACGAGGAAGACTCTTAATTATTTTATGGCGCACCACAAATTCTCGATTCACGAAAACCATTCATTTAGGCTTGTCCGGTCTCGACTTCAACTCCTGCCGAGATTTATTTTATTCACCCGCGAGAAATCACTCTAAAACGTGGCTATCACCTCATTGTATCTTATGGATTGTGTTGGATTTTCTGTTTTCCATCCGAAACTACCGATGATGATAATAATGATGGAATGAGACACAAGAGGGAACCAGTTCTCCAGTCCGATTTACCTTTTGCCCACCTTTCAGAATGGGCCGTTTTTTTCCCATGCTGGACGACGGGGAGAGAGATAAAGTATCTTGGGGGATATAAGGCAATACTTTGGGCATAAACAAGAGATATTATTTCGGTATTTAGAGAGAAATACGAAGCATAGAGAGAGAGAGGCAAGCATCCGCTCTGGTTGAATGTCTTCACGTTGGGACGCGCTTTTATTTATGAATGGACCCAGGGAAGATGAAGGAGTGAGGCCCATATAAGAAAAATCATGTGGAGCTGAAATCACAGCGAGACATTCTTTGCCATTGGAATAACACATTATGAATGATAAAATTTCTCAATCGCCCAGCCACCATAAATATTTCACGGTAGCCAACTCAATAAATGGGAGTTGAGACATTTATCAGCAAGTGTCCGCGGTTGAGTGCACGAGAAAAAGCCCGGGAATCCGCGCGAGTAATTTGAACAATGATGAAATTTTTCCGTGTCACACTGGAGCTTTGGAAGTGATGCTGCAATTTGCCACCTTAGATCACTCCATCTTGATCCCAGTTGGTTTACTTCTGGCGCAGAGAGAGAGAGAGAATGCGATAATGCATTAAAATTGTCCAAATCGCCCTATTGGAATGCTCGACTTAATTGAGTTTTCGAATCAGAGTTGCACACTTTTGTCCAGAAAAGACTGTCTAGATATCAGATTGAAGCTTTCTTGTAACTGTTCACAGACTTTTATTTGTTTATTCACATTAAAATATTGATTAAAAATGTTAAAAAATATATTTTCACAAGATAAATTGATAAAATATTGCAAAAATTGAATAATTTTGATAAAATATTCAAATGCCGAATACAAATTTAAAAAAAAATGAATACTTTCCCGAGTAAAATTGAAAAGATATTGAAAAATTAAATAAAAATCAAGATAAAAACAAACAAAAAATTTATATTTTTCCAAAAAAATGAGAAATATATAATTGTGAATAATTGTTGTGAAATATATTGAAATGTAGAATAAAAATATAAAAAATGTATATTTTTAATTTCGTTTTTCAATACAATATTCAAAAAATGAATATTTTCCCTAGTAAAAGTTAAATATATTTGAAAAATTGAATAATTCTAGTAAAATATATAAATATTGATTGAAAATATACAAAAAATCAATATTTTTCCAAGTAAAATTGAAAATATATTTAAAAACTGAATAATTTTGGTGAAATATTTAGCAGTTTAAAGTTATGTAGAAGTTCCAGTTCTAATAAAGATTATATTTTGATTTTGAATATATTAAAGAGCAATAAATATAAAAAATTTACAGTATTTGAACATATTAAGGTCTTTACAATCTTATTTGTCTGAATTCACTGTCTTTCCCATTGGATTTGATGATGGAATTGTAGAAATGATAAAAGAATAAAGATTGCTTAAATAGTGATTCAAATATTATCACACATATTAATTGTGACACAACTGTGAATATAATTATTGCAAATGACAATGAATGAGATATTTTAGGCAGCTTCTGTAATTTCCACAGATTCCTATCTTATCTACTTAGTAGTAATTGCAACTCTGTTCGTGAATCTTCCTAACAATTTGTCTGTTTCTTCGTCACTCGGCGCATATTTGTCTGTCTTTTGAGACGCGACAAAGTCCGCGTGATCGCAAAATCTCGCGGAGTGTGTAGCAATGTTAATGAACAATAATTGTGGACATTGGTGACAAAATTATTGTCATTATTTGAGCTTATTATCTGGTTGTGCACCGTGTGATGAGCGTGTCAGCCATCACGGTCATGCGGCGAACCCAGTTGCGGCAGCTCCTGTCCGATTCCCACTGACCAGAGAGTGAGAGCTCTAAATCACTCGTCCTAAATGTGGAACCTAAATGTGGCCATGTCGGTGGGAATGATCATTTCAAGGAGGGCTGAATGTTTGCTGTTTTCATTCATCTCAATTAATTCTGTCACTCAATTCACTCCTGGCTAAACAAGGGACTTTCCATGGGTGGACAATCTATTGAATTTATTCGGAATTTTGTGCTCTGATGGAACAAATCTCCAGTTGAAGAGTGTTTCCCACTCGCCAAATGATTTTCAATCCTCTGCCAAATTGCTAAAAGCTCTTCAGCCGCCCAACACCCGAAAAATATCCACTCCGGGAAGGGGAGGCTTTTATTGAGGGTCAAAACCATACTCGATCTCTATCATTTCAATTGGAATTCACAATTAATTTTTTGATTACCAAATTCACCCACTTTCCCAGTCGCCCCGAAAATCCCTCTTAATCCCTTCTCTCTCTCTCACTATTCAAATAACTCAACTCTGGCGATGTGGATGGGGAAGTTTTATCGATTACCTGAAATCTCTCTGGCCATCGAGAAATGAGATTCCATCGTAATTAGTACGAAAAAAAAGGAATTACGTAAGGAAAAATGAAGAGACATGGCGCACACGAAAAAAAGTGAAGTAAAACTAAGGCAAAATCGTGTGTGTATTTTTGCAGAAAACACACAAAAAATTAATAAATTACATGACTTGGACGTGGCTTTCTTGCCAACGAAGTCTTTCGAGCATAACTAAAGAAGGAAAATTGCAATTAATTCGATAAAAATGTGCACCGAGCACGATACAATGCGTCTCTTAATTCAAACATTGTGGAATTTTGTGCTGGGTGAAAATTACGCTAAACTAATAGATTTTTAAATAAAAGCAAATTACTCTCGATTTTTCACATAATAAGTACACTGTGATGGAAGTTGTCTAGCATGGAATTCTCACATCAACATTTTTGTCTAGATTTATCTCTCATCTCTGAGCATAGCGTGTTAGTTTGATAGCTTCCAAGGGGGAGATAATATGCCATTAATCTCTACATCAGTTTCAAACACCTCCAAATTTGCCTGATAATTATAAAAACATGAAATTTGTAGTCTGTTTCCACATTAATTTCCAAATTAGAATGAATCTCTTGCGATTCCAGTCGATTTTTCTATAAAAATCGACTTAAAATCGCTGTTTTTGGACATCTCTTCTGATCATAACCTCAAAAATATCATTAAAAGATCTTCAAAAACTCAGTTTGGAAGCTCTCTAGATCAAAAAACATCTCAAAATTGCCGATTCACAGTCACAATTCTCCACAAAGTTGTCTAAATGGACATTTTGCATGTCCAAATTACTATTTCTGAGGTTATATTCAATCAAAATGCTTAATTCTGTCAAAAAAATGCGAATTATTCACTAAATCTGTCCTTAATTCTTTACATAACCTAAAAAAAAGATTATTACGTTTGTTTCTGCGTGAAAATCGAAGAAAATTCAGAGAATCTGAATGATTTGTCAGTAAAAGAAATAGTTTCTACTCTTTAAGTGCTTCTGCAGAGCAGTATTATCTCCCCCTTGATAGTTTTCATACCAGAAATTGAGACAATTTAAAAATGCAGCTCTTTGTTATTTTTAATTCGCGAATAGATTGTAATATTTCATTTTTCTTCCAACTCCACCAAAGTGGATTAACATAAAATTAGCACACTTTTTTACTTTGTATTCCATATTGTGTTTTAATGCAATGCAGAAGTATTTATCAGTCTCTTAGCAAGCAAATTGAGCCAACATTGTGGTTTTAAGCAGCCCAAATTGTCACTATTGATGGCATGGCGGGGTCATTCTGGCAAATTAGCAGCAGAAATATGCCAGAATGAATGGTGAAAAAAAGGGAATTTGTCTCTAAGAACTGTAATTTTAGTGTGCGCAACAGAAGTGCCTCTTAACATATTAATACAATTTGCATTAATTTCTCACTGTTCTTTCTTTTTTCCTTCACTCCGTGCGCGCCTTCACCCTTTCACAGCCACCGGTAGCCACTTTAATGCATATTCATCATCTGACAACTATTGAGGAGAGAGATCCCGTGATGTGACTCCCTAATTAGTGTTGAGCAATGTACATTTTGTTTTTGGAGCACTAAACAGGCTCACCAACATGGGGAGGTGAGAGATAATGCGATGTGGCAAGAGGCGGAAAGATCCCCTTGGCAGAAAGGAAAAGGAAAAAGGGGGTTTCATCATGCAAGAAGACATGCAACTGCTTCGTCGCAATTTCGACAGGGCTTCTGGGCTTGGTGGGTTATTTAAAAGCAATATTTAGGGGCGATAAGGAGGTTCTATGGCGCAGCCAAAGTGATCTCTTCATTTGCAACATTTTATACACAAAAACACTCCCGAGACTGTTGATTGTGCAATTAAAGCTTCCTTCCCAGACGCCGCACATGAAGACGTTGACGCGCTCTCTCTCTCACGTGGGGTGGACCGGAATGTACACACACACTCTCTGGAGGAGAATTATGACAGAGATAAAAGTTAATAAGAAGTGGCTGTTAAAAAAGTTTTACTTTTTATTGTATTACCCAGTGGATATCTCGCAAGTATTTTTTGGGATGAGATAAAAGGAGTGTTTTGGGAAAGTGTGAGGAAGAGAGACGCCGTAATATCCAACATAAAACATGAATCCAATTCACATATACAATAAACTTGAATAATGCCATAAAAAACATTTGTTAAACATGTAATCTAATGATATCAACATTGGAGGAGGTGATTAAAATTAATTAATTATTTTAATTTGTTCTCTTCCCTCTCTCTCTCTCTCGCCCGCAGAGCAATCCGTATGGACTGAAGGAGAGCGGACCCACCGGCGATATGTCGGCCTGGACCTCAGCCGGCCTCCAGCCGACCACCGGCTACTATCCCTACGATCCCACACTGGCGGCCTATGGGTGAGTTGCGCGGAAGGAAGAGGACACAATTGGTGTAATTATGCAAAAATGGGGCGGAGGTGATCGTGTAAAGTTGCGCTCATTGCAGTGAATGAATTCAGCACATTCGGCCATGGCGTGACCTCTGCCAATTTCGACTGCTTCTCGCCTCTGCGATATTCCACTGCCTTCGCTCCCTTGCTCAGCCGCAATATTGACGCCTCCCGTAGTTCCGTAATTGATTGCCAAAGATGAGGCCCATTCAGACGTCCGATGCCCACTGAGGTCTTGTCACATCTCTTCCGGCACTCAATTCATTTGCTTGCACACATGATCAGTGAATTTAATCAACCACTCTCGACACTCGGAAAAATTTGCATGTTCTTGAACAAAGAACCAAAGAAGCATTTTCTTCATAAATTAAATTAAATAAAACAGAATAAGACTAAAATTTAGTAATTATCATCATAAAAACAAATCGATTTTGAAGTGAAAACATAATAAGAAGAGATTATTCTTGTTTTACGGATTAAAAACAAGGCATTTTATTGGTCTCAATCAAATAATCAAAATTTTTGATAAGAAAAATAAAAAAAATGAATTTTTTCAAAAGAAATTGCAAAATAATTCAAAATTGAATATTTTCGGCAAAATATTTAATCAAATATACTTAAATATTTTCTGAATATTTAATTGAATTAAAATATATTTAAATATTTGATCATTAACACTACATTGTCGCCAGAGGGCAGCAAAGTTGGCGTGGGGGACGCTAATAATATCGCATTTTTCGCTTAATTTTCTTTATATCTTGACGAATTCTTACACTTTGTGATTTCTTAGCGTAATCCTGGCTAGGAAAGAAAGAAACTTGAGCAGGTGATTAAGTTTAAAATGCTTGTAGAAGTTTCGATTACATTTCAGATTATTTAAAGGCGTTTCTCCCAAATTGATTTGTGAAATGCAATCAGAACTTTTCCTTACCATTACACTGTTGCCCTCTAGCGACAATTTGTGGTAAAAATAATCAAGATTAAAAAAATTAAAGAAGCATGAAAAAAGTTTAATTTTAAGAAAGATAATTACTGGAATTTCTTCTTTTCATTGATTTTTCTCTCAGTGTCGTATTAAACGTCTTCTTGTGAAGAACTCTAAAGTCTTAATCCGCCTTCATTTATTTCTCTAAAAATAAACGATGATCCAGACAAGTTTTTAGCCCCTCAAGACTTTATTCGTTCGTCACTTAAATGAAATCATTGCACTGTTTTAACGTCATTTTAGTCATTTTGACTTGCGAATTTTTTATTCTGTGTTTAATTTTATTACAATGCTTGTGCTTTAGTGACTCTTAATGCCCCTCGATAAAATTGTGAAAAGCCTCACTTCTGCCCCTGCGTGAAAAACAGAGTAAAATCCACACTCGCATATACAGTGTTTTGTCTGGAAATATTTTCCAACCATAATTCTAACACTATTATATGTATTGAAGAATTTCGTGGAGAAAAACTGAATCTTTTTTATTGCTTTAATTTTACTACGGGCAACTATTTATTAATTTTACTATCACGCAAACTCCTATCTAAAAATACAAATAAACACACATATATGGGCGAAAAATGGGTGGGAAGAGTGGAAAAAAAGTGAGTTAATAGCTTGTTTGAAATACAAACACATAACTTAACAATGAAGCACTAAATTTAGTATGGCAATATATGAAAAAAAATATTGCTGTGTAAGATATATGGAATGACGCGATCTCAATAATTAAATGTTATTAAAATTGCAATGCGTGAACATGTGTACAATTCATGTCTCTTTTTCTTGTTTACTTCTCTCTTCACCGACAGTCGGCTTTTTGCCATTTATTTGCAATTTCATGACTCTTGGCCGCGCTCATTTTTTCCACCATATCTGACAAGCGCTCTTTTGATGAACACTGCGGTAATGATATATTTAAAAAATAATTTATTTTCTATGTGATACAGATATTCCATATTGATATGACTGAAAAAAACCTCCACTTAATGGCTTGTTAACGATGGAAGCTGAGGCGCGCGGGGGACGAGGAATTGGTTTTAATTGCTTTTTGAGTACGAAACACGTTAAAGGTGTAAAAAGGATGAATACATATCACCCTATTTGTTATTATACTTTCGCCTCAAGACTCCGCCAATATAATTCTTGGAATATGTATTTATCACTTTGCGCTGCGAGAATTCCACCGATAAGATGCGGAGACGGAAATGTTGCTCGTCTGACGTTACACGAGATCCACACCAAATATTAACCCTATAAATATTGAGATATGGCAAAATTATTACCCGACAATCTTGTACGCCCCAATCTTACCCCGAAAGAATGGGTGGAAATGCGAATTTGATGGGGATTGGATGAATTGATGCTCGTTTCACGTACAAAATCTGCGTTAAAACAACACCGAAAATTTCACTCACTCCCTCTGCCACGGCAATATTTCTCCCTGGGCTTCAACCCCCCCGAAAATATGCCTCTCAGTGTCATCAATTTTCCCTTCTGTGAGGGAGCAGCTTCTGGGAAATGGGAAATTCATCAAGTTCATCGTATAAACAGATCACTTCTTTCTCTCTTTTATTCCGTCGTCATCGATTTATTATACTGTATGCATTGGAGGTAGAATTTTCCCTTTTTTCTCAACCTCAGGGGTTGACAAGTCAAGCTATTCAGGATTGCTGAAAGTGGGTGAATTTTTAAAAATACTATTCCTCATGTTTTCATATCAAATTCGATTTAATTCAACTCTCCACATGAACACACTTAGAAAAACTTCTCAAAAACACAATTTTTCCTAATTTTCAGCCTCTTTTCCCTCCCCGGAGTAGTTGCATTTTTTCCCTCCCTTTTTTCCGATAATTTTTTTTGCCGTTTTCCCTCTTTCCCTGGGCAAGGAAGAAAAAATCCCATAGAATTTTCTACACCCTCCAGAAAATTTCCTCTCTCTTTTTATCACTTTCTCCCAATTGTGTAGTTCCATTTGCCCCCAGTCCAGGGGAAAAACAAGGCCAGATCCTTCCCAAGGAGTATCACCAACTTTTATGGCTATCAGCGTCTCAAGTAGACCGCCTTTCCTGTGTCGCACGCACTTTTTGTGCCTCTCAGGAGTCTCTCCGCACAGCGAAAGTGGGTGGGTGGGCACAAATGTCCTCCATTTGTGGGTGGATGGCTCAGCTGATTCAATAACACCGCACTTGTGTGCCTTTTTTATTGCACTCTCACGTTCGCTAGATTAATAAATTTCCCCCCTCTCGTCGTCATCTCGCCCTGGATGTTTTTCATATGAATTCTAAAAACGACCGAGAGAGGTGAGACAGGGCAGTGCTTGAGGGTGGGAAGAGCGAGAGCTCAGACAACTTGTTGATTCTCCAGGAGGAGCGCTAAATATCGTCTTTTACACAATTTGCAAAAGGATTTGTGCGCTGATCTACCATTCTTTGATTACTCTGAGACACTGGAGAACGGCTTTTTCAGTTCAATAATTCAAACTTCAAGTGTCCAAGGTGGTGCGTTTGCCAGCTTCTCACAAAGTGAATGATTTCTCGCATTGGGGCATTGAGGCGACACGCTCGGAGCCTCTCACCCACGCTCCTTCACTCCAAAAGACACCCACCCACCGCGAGGGGGGCTCGCGAAGCCGCGTGCAAGGTGAGTTTTATAGTTTGGGCCCCGAGAGATGCGAGTGACTGATTGGACGCTGTCACGAAGGATTGCATGTCTCCCCAGATTTCCGATGTCACATACGCTCCACACTACTTATACGCCCATATATACAGGCTTCGACGCCACCACAGGGTGATGATTTCTCACAGTGATTTATGACGCCCGGCGTCAGCGCCAGAATTTCCCTCCGAATATGTCACATTGGGCCGTGTGGAGGAAATGAGGCGCCCCCCCGGGAAGAAATTCTCACGCATAATTCTTTCTTGCCCTCCCTCGGCGCTCTGGCCCTTTTTATTTGATATTCACAGAACGTGGGCCTCAAATTTGATTGACTTCTGGCGTCCCTTTTTGCGGGGGTTTCCGCATTTTTTCCTCCCTGAGGAATTTCTATATTTAAACCCAAAGGATCTCCCCCCATTTTTCCCCACTCCTCCTCATGGGATATTAAAGTGTTGGGTGTAAAAATTCATATCATCACTTCAATCGCACTCAATCAATTGGGAAAGTGAATCAATTTCTAAAAATGAATACTCACTGTGCCACAGTGTCCACTGGAGAGCCAACAAAAATGACAAATGGCTCACAATTGCCTCTTTTTTACACTTTACACACACCCCAAAAGAGGGTGGCAGACAATTGAATGTGTGTTTGCCTTCTCTCGGGGTGCAAAAAAAGAGAGCTCCGAACAAATTGACTTGGAAAATATTTACTGACGAATTGAGTGTCACTTTTGGTGGATTTTTCACACACAATATTGTGAATAAATTATGTTGTGAGATGAGAGGAGATTTTGGGGGGTAGCAAACAAGTGAGTATACAAGAGTGAGTATCGATTTTTGGTGGCAGTGGAGACGCCTGGTGCCACTCGGCGTCTCCACTGTCACCCATAAGTTGATTTCCAGCGCCTAACGACGAAGGCGTGATGGAATTTCTCGCACTTTTGGGACTCTGTGGTATGAAATAAATCGGAATTTTGATATGTTTTCCCACCAAGGAGGACTTAATATAGCGGTCCTTGTATGGGATTTTAATCGTGCCGGGGAATGAATACCAAAATATTTGATATGAGAAATACTTTTGAGTCGGAATATATACGATTATGGCGCTAGGCATGTGACTTGGAATGCTAAATTCTTTCTCGCCATCTCGCACATTTCCGGGAGCGGGTGATTTAGAAGGACCCTCGGGAGCTCAATCGATTGTAGACGAGTCGCCATTTTGCGTTATAAAATCACACACCGAAACGCTTTGATATGCCACACTGGCTGGGTGGGAGAAGAGGGAAGGAAAGTGGCGAGGGATGTGGGAATTTTCGGGCGGGAGAGAAGCTTTAATGTTTTGGGGGGTGAAAATGTTGATAAAGCTCGAGAGCGCATGTTTCACACACACAAACACACAGAGTTTTCCACTGTTGTGCAAATGATGGAGCTCCGACAGACAGAGATAATCCAATTTTCCCTTCTGGCTCTATGTCTAACATTCTAGCTGCTGTGGCAACAGCATCTCGTAACTCTCACTGTCCCTATTCTCGTCCTACTTGAGGCTCAAGGAAGTCGTGAGGAATCTCTCTCTTGCTGGGCGGAAAGTTGCCTCGAGAGTGACTTCAAAACGACTCCGTCGTATTTGAATATTAATGCGCGCTTTGTGCATTTCAAAGGCACACGCATTGAGGCAGGAAATAATAGCAAATTATTTAATTGAACCATTCAATTTTCAGCTTTGCGCTTGAGTATCTTATTGACTCATGAGATATGTATCTGTCCGGCCAAACAGAAAATTGTTTCTCTCAAGCTCAACTCACAGACAGAAACATATCAGTTGAGAAGATAGTTTGCACAAACCATAGCTGAACACATTCTGTACACTTTCCGACATATATATATATATATTTCACTACAGGGGAGAGAATCAAGAGCTGAAAAAGCATATAACATTTCGCAAGGCAGCATTAATTATTCTCCTCCCCGAAAGTGTGGCACAGAAAATTGAAAGCACTGCGAGAATAAATCACAAAACTCTATGCTCTTGTATATTTCGTCCCAAAAAGTCTTTCAGTGTTTGCTTGGCGCAAAAGCGTGAAAATTGCAATTCACTATCTCTCGTCAAATGTGGTTGAATTTATAGGTGATTTCTGCCGCACCTTTTGAGTTAATATAGCACCGCGCGCGATGCTGTGTCTCAAATCTCGTTGGGCTTTAGAAACCATGAGAATAATCAGTCTCATGATTCTCGATCTGATCACATCACATCCTGGCCACACTGTGTGTTGGAAACGCAGTAGACAAAGAGGGAAATTCTGCACTGGAGCGGAGAGAAAACCTCTTAAGAGGGCAGATATATACTTTGGGTATGTTTGGTATGCAAAAAGTGTAGAAAGAAAACACTTCTAGCACCACAACAGCAAATATGCCAAATCACACATGATGATTGAATTCTCAGATAAGCTCGTGGCACGGACTTGTGAATGTTAGAAATGTGAGAAATAATCGAGATAATGTACAAGGAGTTGAAGTTGGTAGTCAACAGTTGATCTCCTCTTCCTCACCATCTCCCAAACGCGTCTTATGTTGCGCCCGTCAGCATAATCTGGCGGCGCATATACAATGTGAAAATCTCCAGTAGACTTTTCTGATGTACAAAATATGTATTATAAATTATTGTCAATATGATTGTGTGTTTGTTCAAAATTACAACACACACGGTCATACATTAATGGGAATTTATGTCTCTCAAAATTGTTAGCAATGCGAAATTAGTTGCGCGCGATATATTCATATATGTATATTTTTGAGTTGGGAAAAAAAAATTGCATCCAATACTCGGGCAATAAATTTCAAAGTTGCGGTAGTCTTGTTTGCTAAATTGATCAAACAAAACACTTTACAATTTGTTGTGTGTGGAAAGAGCAGATCGATCGTTGGCGGAGATTTCGATCGACCGCCTCCATTAATGGGGACGCAATTGGGTGAATATATGATGGAAATTCACTCCACAATCTCCACAATCTCACCGTGCCGATCTCATTCATATTAACTCGCCTTCTTGTAAATCACGCAAAGGAAACCACATGAGACAAACCAGCTGAACAACGTGCTAAATCGACAATTTAAAGAAAACTGCCTTCGCGGGAAATTGCAAAAAAGTCACTCCATTGTTGGGGAATACAAGATGTGAATTATATCGTCTGTGATTTATTCTTCTGGGAGAAATTCAATGCTGCGCGAGACTCTCTGAGAACACCAGATTCACTTACCATCTTTCTCCCCCGCCGCCGCATGATTTTCCAACAGAAAAGAAAGAGAGAAAACATGGAGGAAAGTCTCTTCGCCGGCAGAACGTGTGAAAAAATGGCATGAAATTTGCGTATAAAACACCTCTTTTATTCCTTTTGCCGGCGCGTCTTTCTCGCCTTCTTCAGCACCTCGCCATCAATGAACTTCAACCCCCAAGCGACCGATTGTATGACTAGTAGCAAGCCAAAGTGACAACTTGTACCCCCGAGACGCTCGTTTCCGATAACACCGGAAAGTGCTTCTTGCACAAAAGTTGAGGTGGAAAAAAAACCAGCCAGACGAGGAATAAATATGCACAAATCCATGTGAAGTGTTTTCCGTGCACTGATAAAAACAAATGGAATCCAGAATTTTAACACAATTCGTTCCGATTTAATGTGAATTCAAGGGGAAAATCGTGATTTTCACTTGAATTCTAAGTCGATTTTTTTTAGTTTTCGTTTAATATATTTTTGGAAAGCTTTTGAGAGCTTTTCAAAATTGTTCTAAATCATAGAATTTTCCTAAAATATTCTTAGATTTTGAAAAAATATAATTTTCTTCATATCTTTTATTTTCTTCACTTGAAAACTTTGAAGGAATTCGATTATTTAGAAGTTGTTTGGATAAAATGTGCTCGAAAATGATTAAAAATTGACTGTGGAAATTAATATTTTCACTTAATCTTTTAATTTTGCCATATTTTAGTAAACAAATTATCGCGAATTCCAATAAAATCCAGTGAAAAATTCATAAAACAATTATTAGAAGGTATTTTGGGGATTTTGAGGTAAATTCAGCAAATTTCGAAGCGATATTAACACAAAATTTACATTTATCATAGAAAGTATTTAATTTTTATTATTTAGCAAATTTCCTTGGAAAACAATCATTTTTTCAAAATCAATATTTAAATATTTAATTGGCTAGTGAATTTTCCCTTTGTGTAGATATTTTACATCCACTTTCAATTTGTATTTGACATATTTTTATGACAGTGTAGAAATGCAGAGGGTGGAAATTCTCCCTTCTGGCTATTGATAATTGAAACCTTTTTGGCGGAGACAAAAATCAATTCACTGCGGATAAAAAAAGCCTCACTTCCATCGGCATTTGTGGCATGAGCGATGAAAAAAGTATAACAAAAGCGACAAATGCTGGTGCAAGCGACGAAATAGCGTAATCGGGAGATCTGCAGAATGTACATATGCAAAATCCACCTGAATATCTCATTATTCACAATTAATGCCTGGGATTTTCCGTGTGTCGAAAGCATGTGGATGATGGTTGGAAAAATGCGCGAGCCGCGCTGGATGGCGGGCTTTGGTGGCTGTGAGATGGTTATTTGGGATTATAAATCGCTCGAATGGAGAAAATGACGATGATGAATTTATTAGTCACGACCTGACCCCCACAAGACAAGCCACAAGCTTCTCTCAACTCTCGCCACTTGGGATTTGTGCGCTTGTGAAATCTCCCATTCTTATATTGTGCGCCACGAACGAGGCGTTCTTGTGCGCCATGCAGAATTGAATTTCAATTATCGATTCGTATTTATCATTTCATTGCCTCACTTCTTGTTCTCGTCACACAATCTCTCAATTCTAATTTACACTCGCGGTGGAAATTCTTCCTCGATTTTCGTGAGAATGCGCCTCTCACCTGTGTGTGTGAGAAGATTTGTTTGCTCATGGGACGACTTCTTGGAATCGTTGCAGGTACGGCGCAGGATACGACCTGGCGGCGAGGCGGAAGAATGCCACGCGGGAGTCCACGGCGACGCTGAAAGCGTGGCTCAATGAGCACAAGAAGAACCCCTACCCCACCAAGGGCGAGAAGATCATGCTGGCGATCATCACGAAGATGACCCTCACGCAGGTGTCGACGTGGTTCGCCAACGCGCGGCGGCGGCTGAAGAAGGAGAACAAGATGACGTGGGAGCCCAAGAACAAGACGGACGACGACGACGACGCAATGGTGTCGGACGACGAGAAGGAGAAGGACGACCTCGATGGCGGCATGGACAAGAGCCGAGATCACAAAGGTACTCAGCGAAACAGGTGACAGAGATATCGCAACAGCTGTTCACCCCCTAAATTCCCTTCCATCCACCCCCCGAAAGCCATTTTCCGCCGAAACTGGAAAATTGATGATCTCACCTCGCACCCTTACGCAACCCCACCCCCGTGCGCGCGCCAAATCCACCCTCCCGGCCAACTTTTCCCTCGCACAATGGCGACAAAAGGACCCCAAAGTCTCACTTAATAATAATATCAACTTCATCACTTCGTGAGATGTTCATTTTGCCAACCCTCACGCAAAACTTTTCCACCCCTATTCAGAGGCTCCTTCTCTCGCCCATCAGGAGTGATGGCAAATTTTCACAAGGAGCACTTGTGCTCGAGCATATCTCGTGAATGACGATGATCTGTGCACAAGTTTGACTTCAAGTTTGCAGAGAGTAAATCAATCAAGATTGCTGAAGGCGAGAAGAGTCAACTTCAATCGTCTTTCATGCCATCTAGACGCTAAACAACTCTGACATGTTCAAAGCTTTGGCTTCTAAATTTAAAATAATTTCCTCTAAGCTCTCCTTTGGGCGGTTTTCCCTCCGTTGACAGTGTAAGCAAAAGTTGAATTTTCTTTTCATGCAAATTAAATACATTGAGTATGAAAATCTCTCTTCCTAAACTCACAGACACTTAACTTTTTCTTATGCCACAGTTTTCTCTGCACACGCTGAGAGAGAGATTTGAAAAGTTTTACTCTCTCTCTTCTTTCTCTTCTAAACCACCAAAAGTTTATCGCTTTTTCTTCTAACGAGGAGAAAAAAAAAGTTACACACACACACAGAGAAGAAAGTTGAGGAAGTTAATGAGGGACGAAAAAAGAACGTCTTGGGGGAAATTCACGAGGCAAATAATTGCCACTTTGCCATCACATAAATTGCCTAAATCTGCGTTTGATTAAATAAGCCACCAACTGGATTGATTTATTTCCTCAGACAGCCTTCCCCTCGAATGGTAACTAGTGGGTGGTGACGCGGAAGCCAGAGACTGCGGCTGGTGTTCTGCCGAGGGTTGAGATTATATGGACTCGTGGATTAGCCAAAGTTTGGCGTCGACTGTAAGGAGATTCAATAGCCCAAGATCTCGACACTCGAGAGAGAGAGAGAGAGTGAAATTAACGAGCCTCACTCGCAATACCTGTGGACTTTTGAGTTGATCCTGGACGAAGGAAGGCGAATACGAATGAAGCAGTGAAGAAGAAAAACCACCAACAATGAGGGTTTGATGCCATTATATCCGCTTCTTCTCATGGCATCTGAACCCCGGCATCGCCACTAATGAATAACAGGACGCGCGTCGATAGGAGTAGATGGACTATTAATGGAAGTGTTTTATCCCTTTTTCGCCTCTCGAGGGTGGCGAGTGTTTGAAACGACACACATACAATTAATTCTATCCCTTCGCACAAAGTGGAATCCGGGGTGGAAAGTCTTCCGTCTTTTTTCCCTTGCCCATGTAACAAGTGGCAGTTTCACTTTGCCTAATCGGATAATGGAGGATATTATCAGGAGGTGCTTTTAGCCACTTTTCCCAATATCGCAATGACCCCTGTTTCTCACTATAATTCAACATTATATTGCGAAGGGTGTGTGAATGGTGAGAAATACGCTCAGAATGCATCTCACGCCTTCGATTGAAATGCACTCTTCTCTCTCTCTCTCAGGGGGTGGCTGTGGAAGTCACCCCTTTCAGTGCTCTTTTTAGCGTCACTTCACTCCCTCCGCCGGGCGAAATTAATGCAATATTTTATTTAAGGGCAATTATCAGGGGTGGTTTGGCTGCAATTCCCTGCGGAGAGGAGATTTCTCTTATCTTCACGACCTGAATTTATGGATCTGTAAATATTAAACAACCCCTGAATTCCGGATGGAGGAAGAGAAAATCATTTTATTAAATTCCTCTCAGTCTCTAGAAGACGGACTTTAAGGACAACTTCATGTGCGTGGTTCGCCTTAAATGATCCACATTATATCAATCAGTTGAGCGAGATTTGGTGATGTTAGGAGGAAAAACAAACACATGCTGTGACACCCTTCAGATCGATTTTCCACCATCATAAATACATCAAGTGGAAGCGAGAGCAGCATTTTGGGGTTGAATATGAATGAGCCACCCTCGCATTGTCCCCCTGAAGCCATTAAACTCTCTCGTGGTTGCTCTCGCATGATGGAAATCTCTCCTCTCTCTCTCTCACTCACTCTCTCTCTCTGGGCGACCCAATCCAACCCCTTTCGCAGCGCAAGTTTCCCTGGTGCGCTTGAGAAACTTCAGCCCTCTTTGGCAAAATTTGCAAACATATAATTTAGAGCGAAGCCATTCATTGGATTCATGTTTATTCCGGCGGAAACTCAGCCGCCCCCCGCAAACTACACCCCAAACACCCAAAACTCAGCCATTCGTGGGTGTGAAAAGTGAGTGAAATTCAAGAGGAAAACGGTTAATCAGACACAGCAGCGAATTAATGTCTTAATTGGGGCGATAATTCTCCACATTCCAATTGCTTCCCTGCTTTTGCCACCAATAAAACTGACCGCGTATTGATGCCAGTCTTCTCGCCATTGCAGACTCCATCCATCATGTGAAGTCTGAGCAGCACGTGAAGGACGAGGAGGAGGACGATCTGACGGACGACGACCGCAAAACTGAGGCTGCCGCCATGCTTGCGGCCGGCGGGGGAGCCGGCGGTGGTATGTCACACCACCACCACCTGCACCACCACCCGCACCACCATCCGTACCACCCGCACCACCCCCACCACCCGCACGGGATGCTGGGCGGCGGGTACGGCGTGAAGCAGGAGGAGCAGCAATTGACGGCGCCAAAAAACCAAACAAGCAGCGACTGTGGCGTGCCGATTCCGGCCACCAAGCCCAAAATCTGGAGTCTGGCCGACACAGCCGCGTGCAAGACGCCTCCCCCACTCCCACCCCACTCGGCGCCATGGATGGCGGCGCCCGGCTACCAGCAGACGACTGGCAGCGCCGCCGCCATGATGATGGGCTCCGGCGGAGCGCCGCCGCATGGCATGCTGGCGAGCGGCCAGCCGCCACCTATGCAGCAGCAGATGATGCCTGGCACCGGCCCCATGACGACGCCCTTCACCGCCAACTATGGCCGGTACGGGGGGTTTCTCAGTGGGCCGCCGCCCCCGCCGCCCTCGGCCCACCACTACCCCAACCCCTGCACCACGCCGAGCCACCTAGCCACGGGGGACAGTACGCCCCTGGGCCCCCAATCCACGCAGATGTCCAGCAGCAGCAGCAGCACCACGAATACGCCGCCGGCGATGGGGTTTCCCGAGGTCCAGACCGATACGCCACCCCAGACGCCGCCGAGTATGAAGCTGCCCAGCGTGGCCGGGAACCTGCTCCATTCGGCCACCCCTACGACCGGTACCTGCTACAGTAACGGCGGTCCGGCCATGGCTAGTGCGCCGTACGGCGGCGCCGCGTCGCCGGCGGAGCAGAACGGCTTCATGGGCAACTTCGCGCGCATGCAGGGCAGCCCCGTGAACAACAACACGCTGCACAAGGACTTCGCGCAGCAGATGATGAGCGCCGACATGGCGGCCTTCAAGCCCTTCTACAAGAGGTTTGTCCGTCGCTCGAGAGTGTCGAGAAATTGTCGCTAACCTGAGTCCGATTTCCTTGCAGTGCCCACCAGGTTGGGAACGGATTCGTGTCGCCGGTCTGAGACGAGGACGCCGAGAGTGACAACCACCCTCAGTGAGTTTCCAAAATCTAACCCACAACCGGATGCCGATGACAAATTGCCATTCAAATTAACCAATCGCACACGTCCTCATAGGCTCGTGAGCCTCGTGAGAATGATGAGATTCAATACGAGTTCCACGAGAGATTCTTTGTTTGCTCAACTGCCTCATAAATAAGGCCGAGAATCGTGCAAATTCTTCGACTAATTTATTGACGAAAGAGGGATGAACAACCTCATTTACAGTCGGCCACAAGTTTTCGGCACTTTCTGATCGTAATGCTCGGCTTGAGGGATCGCTTTTTAAAGTGTGTGCGAAAACTCAATTTTTTGAGGGTGACTCACACCCCAAAAGCACAGCATTATCTCCGGCCAAACAAAGGGATGCGGAGAACACACACATGGAAGTGAGCTGCGAAAAAGGGTGAATGGAGAAGAATTAAATTGAAGGGATGATTTTCCACTCAATTTGCAACGATACTGGGCGAAGGGTGGATCCGAAATCCATCAATTTGATTGACCAAGTGAATTTTAAAATCCTCCTTCCACAGCCCAGACAATCTTCAGGAATGCTTGCGTCCCTTCTGGCGTGAGTCCTTTGTCGCACGTGAATAATTAAAATCACGGGGCTGTGATGCAATCAATTGGGCAGAAAGGAGAGGATTCAATTGGAGTGTGTTTTGGGAAGAAATTTCACGGGCTCTTTTGCTCCCATGATCCATAATTTATCTTCGCGCCGCGGAGGCGCACAAAAAGAGCCACCAAGAATGACGACAAGGTGGAGAGAATTGGAGAAAAAGAACGACGCACGGACAGATGAAAAGCGTCAAGAATTGATTTTTATGGGGATATATAATATAATTATTTGATTTAATTGATGAGATGACAGTGTTGAGTGCTATTAAATATCATACCGGAGAAAAATACGACATATAAATGAGGAGGAAGGAGATTCCCCAAGAAAAAATGAAGGTGTTTTTTGGGAGAAGTAAAGAGAACAACAACAGAAAAAAAAATCAGAGGAGGAGTTAATAAATGATGACGGAAAAAATACGTCAGAAATGGTGAAACGGAGAGCGAACAAGACAAACAGAAAATTAGGATCGTCGTACCTTTTATTGAAATCTCTGCTTCATTTACCTTTTGAAGTTCACGCCCGAGTATTTTTACCCTCTCGTGATGGATTTGCTATTTTTTCTCGAGATTCTAGGGGCTACTCGCCAGTTGAATAAAAGAGTCTCCAGTCACCTAAAGCAGTTCTTTGAATGCTAGAAGATGTTAAAATAGTTCCCATTTTTCTACTTCAACTTTATTAGTTTGATTTATCTTCAAAAATTGTCTTGCAAAGATAATAAACTACCTAAACTTACCTTCAGAAATTATTTTTATGATAAATATATGAATACTAAAATCGTCATTTATGATAAAAGAAACAAATAAATCAATTTTTAACATTTTTCTTGGGATTTCATTGAAAACTTAATTTTTGTCATACAGTTTTCAATCATCCTTTGATTATTTTTTTTATTATTCTGAAAATATAATTTGAGTTTTTAAAATATTTTGCCGAAAATAATGAATTTTTGGATAATTTAGCAATTTTGAAATAGAAAAAACCTTTTTTTTGATTATTAATATTAAAATTTTTATTTTTCCATACAATTTTCAATCATTTTTTGAATATCTTCTAAATAATCTTAGCAATTTTACATGGAAAATAACCATTTTTTGATTTTTTATTTCATTTTTATTTTGAAAAAATATTATTTGTACAACAAAATACAGCTGAATAGCAAGAATAAAATAAAATGACGCAAACTCATTACTAATTACTTAACTTTTTCTTAATTAATTCAATCTTAGCAATGCTTCTTTGGGAAATTTTTCTTCCGTCCAAGCTGTCCAAACTATCAATCGAATCACAAAGCGAAGAGCCTCTGACTCGAAGGAGGATTCCAAACTCCACCTGTGTTTGTTCTTCGGTGTCACACCAATGAAAAATTAAGTGAAATTAAGAAGGAGACAGATTTTTTGTGGTCAGACGATCGGGAGACTCAAAAGACAAAAAGAGCCTCTGCGCGAGAGTCATTTAAGAAATAATAAACAGGTTCTCCTGGTTCTCTCTCAAGGAGGGCGAAAGAATTTTTGTGGCCTCTTCTCGCGTGGATTTATTGGTGAGCCGCACCTTGTCGCTTTTGGGTTTGCGCGTGAATGGAAGAAAGTGTCGAGGAGGACGTGAATGGCTCGTCCCTTGCCATGAGGTTTTTCCATTGAGGGGCCGTAGAAGAAGATTAGCATCTCCACTCGTCCATCAATGTCTGACCGCGGGGAAGAACGCCAAGTGAGGTTGTTGAGGTGCCGATAGCGAAATTGCTGTTCTACACCACGAAATACAACGCTGGGCATTCAATAAAATTCACCCGCTCAATCTCAGTATTTCTGGGGTTCGCGCGGAATTCAATTCACACAACAAGAGACCAAAAAACAACCTTGATGGCCGCGTGGGTGGATTGGCTTAATTATTTTTTACGCTAAGTCTTCACGCTGTCTTTGTCGCCATTCTTAAGACTTGTTCTCATTCTCTCTTTCAGATTTGGCTTTCCGGTGGAGAAATACTGAATGAATGCGGCAAACTCATGCAAATGTATACGAGATAGTTGACTTTTATGTTCGTTTTCCAATGCTGCGCGCGAAGATGGACAACGATGGCGCGGCGGAAATGGGAAAGGAAAAGGGCAAAGTGCAAGCACAAATCTCAATAGAAAGGCGACAATGTTATGATTTTGTTCATTTCTACTCAAAGCATATGAAATATTTAAATGGTATGAAAATCTCAAAATAGCTCAAACACAGCAAATAGATAAAAAGAAAAACACTCACAGAAATTCTATAGATAATCAATAGTGGAAAATATATTAGATAAAGAAGAAAATAATTACTTTCAATTTCCAAATGACTTGTACTTTTCACCGAAGACTTTTCTGAGTGACATTTTCTGTGGGATTCTTCAATTTTTGTCACACTTTCAAAAAAATTGAAAAATATCAACAGAAAATCCACAAATGGACTTGAGAATTAAGGAAGAAGATAAAAAAAATTGGCACGCAAATTTGTGCAATATAATCATTGTAATTAATTTTTTTTTGAGACGAGAAAAGAAGTTTCCGTTTTTTATTGAAAAAAAAATGAAAGAAATTGCATCAATCTTAAGAGAAGAAAAAATAATTCACATAAAATATATTCGCAAAGAAAACGTAAATGTAAAGATAAATTTTTAAACAAAAATAATGAGAAAAAAAATTCACAAATTGTCTGTTTAAGCATTTGTAATCTGTGATAAAAATAACTAACTACTAAATGATAATACTAATTAAAATATTTTAAAAAATGAAAAGTAAAATGAGAGTAATTTAAAAAATGAGAGATTTCCAGACGAATAGAAAATTCGACTTTTTTTCTAAGGAGCTTCTGTGCTGATAAAGAAATAAAAAAGAAGAGGAAGAAGAAAAAAGGAATATTGAGAGTTGCGTTTTTGAAGGATAAAATGAGAGAGAGAAAATTACACAAAAGATGATTGAAATGAGTGAAATTTTTGAAGTGGGCGCAAGAAATTCTATAGATTTTCACTGAAGATGCAAACTAAAAGTTGTGTAAGTTTAAACAACATGAAGAAAAGATTAATTCAACACTTTGAATGTATAACTTTGTAAATACGATGGATGTTTTTTGGAGTAAGTGTGACTTGAACACTCGTATCAATTTTACTTAATATTTACTTACTTATCATTCAAATGACTCCTCCTCAGTCTGCACGCTCGGCACAAGAAATGCAGCTCTGACTCATTGTTTTACTTCTCCCTTGTTTTATTTCTCTATGCAAAGCAAAAATGTATGGAAAATTGTGCAATGCGTTTCTCTGAGTGCAGACTGGGGAGATTCATCAAGTAACAATTTACATTATAATTAAGGAATAATTCGTATAAAGTATATAAAGAAATCAAATCTATGTATAAATTCACAATCATGAAAAATAGACGGATTATTAGATTTAATTTGTGGCTTTCACGTCTTTCCTCCCACAAAATCTCGCGCGCCCACGAAGAAGGATATTCGAAAGATTGTGCAGTTGACCGTCAAGTGGCGTCGCCGTGCAAACGGCACAATAATTTAGACATTCCTCATGAATAAATTAATTGGATTTGAGGAATTTCCCTCCCCTGCGGGGCTCATTGAGACATTCACTCGGGAGGACGACACTCGCCCCGCGGGTCGCTCATTGCCCCAAACTGTGCCGACCGACCGCAATTCATCACAAATATGACCGCATTTATCATCTCCCCAGCGCAGCTCTCGTGGGCATCGGAATTTATTTCTGCCATTAGGCTCTTTGTTCTTTCGGTGATTTTCATTCGAGTCACCTCAAAGTGCATCCCAAGGATTCTCATACTCACCTAAAAAAAAGGTGATCGATTCGCGCGCGAGCGCTTTTTTTCACCTTTGGAGTGTGGGTGGAATTTTGGGGGAGGACAGAAATTTGTTGGGCGAAAAGGTGCCCAAATAAAACATGAATTATTGTGTCTCATAGGACAATTCGATGGAATCGTTTGGGTTGCGCCACGAACGAAGCGAGTGTCGTCGGAAATGGACTCATAAATTCACCTTTGACAGTTTTTCTAGTCGCGCGCTTCGTCTTTTTTTTTCTTTCCTCATCCACGTGCTTTCGGCAAAGGAGGAGAAGCATAAGAGAGAGGGATATTGAGAAGACCAGCATAGTAGGAATCCAGATGGAGGGAAAATTGGAAAAACTTTCTGAAAATTTCATGTCAAATTAATCTTTTTTGGAAAATTTGTTAAGATTTTTCAATTAGCCAATATTTGAGGATTCCTAATGATCTCAAACAAATATTTAAACATAGATTAATACTTTCAAATAATAAAAATTATAATATAAATAAGGAAATACGATTATTTTCCAAGTAATATAACAAAATAATTCAAAATTAATATTTCTGAACAACAAATTTAAATTAATTTTATTATATTCCAATATTTTCAGAATATTTAATAAAAATTTTAATTTCAATAGTAAAAAAGTAAAAATAAGTCACATAATCCGACACAAGCTGTATTCGAACACCTAAAATTAGGAAAAAAAAATACAAACTTGCCTTTAAAGTTTAAATTGCTGCCCTCTGGCGGCAATACGTGGAGAAAATAATCCAATATTTCAATATTTTATTAAAACTTATAAAATAATCAAATATTTGTAATATTTACAAAGAGATTTTTCCAATTTCAATTCGAATTTAATGCTCACTATATTTAAAAGAAATATTTATTGAACTGTTCTTGAAAAATACTAGTGAAATTCCGTGAAATTTTCACTCCTCGTGTGACAGTCGACCCAAATATTATGAAAAAGTGCGGCAGGCGAAAGAAATGAAACGAAGAAATTCTCTATAAAGTCCCTTCAAACGGAATAACAATCGAATTGACTTAATAAAGAGACTCTGACTTACAAATTTGACTCGTTTGGCATATCCATGTAATTATGTTGTTTATGCTGAAAAGCCAACAGACGCGACGAGGAAAGAGTTGGAAAAAAAATAAATTATGTTGTATGACAGACTGACAGGAGGAAATCTTCAAGTATTTCTTCCCTCCAACCCGAAGAAGGAGTTGTATAATCTCACGGAATCTCTTCTTTCTCCCAAGGAGAAAAAAGAGACACGGCGAGCGCACTTCATTTCAATATGAAGAGCAAATTACAATATTTCATCGATAAATCTCTCCAGCCGCGATGTAAATTTATAGTACAGGTGGATTATGAATTAGCTCCCGATGATTTATTGATGGATCTCTTCATTTGAATTTTGGGGCCACTTTCTTCGGCTCAAGATGAATGTCTCGTGGCTAATTTGTGGTCATCCTGGGCATGGACAAATAAATTCAATGTGAGACAATTTTAATGGGAATTTCTTATTTAGTGCGTGTCTAGTTGGACACAGAGGGAATTCCTCTCTCTTCCTGTGGGAAAGATGATCACATTCCTGCTGGTGTATTGTGTGCAAAGCAGATGATTGTGCGCGGGGATGCACAAGTTGGGAAAAAAGGAGTTTCCCGACCAATTTATTCAAAATTCACCTGGTTCGCCAAGCGAATGACCAAATGCTGTGCTGTGTGTGAATTGTTTCGGGAAGAGAGTCTCTCTGCATGCCCAAAGAATTTTGTCTCCTCCACTTCTTCCCATCTGTTCCTCGTGAGACCACAAGCAGAGTTAAGAAATTTATAGAAGAAGCCCGCAATTCACGTTCACGGTGGAATCTTTCGTATGATATTTTCCATGGAAAGGCACACAGAAAAGCACACACAAAGAATGCCACACAAATTTGCCACCTTTTTTTTCACCCTGAGTTGCTGAGCAAAGAGGCAGCGAAAGAAATGAGAAATGAAGTCAGTGGGATAATGTCATGAATTCGAGAGAGTCATTCTTCTTGCCATCCACCAAGAGTCACCAGGGAGACGAGAGGGATTCCGCAAAACACCCTGCCGACAATCCACCCTCTTTCGACACAATGAAGTCCATCATTTATTACACAATAAATACACACATGCATTCTAATCCAACAGAAATATGACATAATTCGCCAAGATATATGACTCTTAGATGAGGTCAATAGTCGCAACAGTGCTTTTGGATGGTGAAAATCCATCTTCGGAAAATATTATTAATTTTCCCTCGACGCTGTGTGGAAATCAATTGGAACTCAGGCTGCTGCTAATCCCATTGTCAAACAGACGAAAAGTGGAATTTCCTTTGTGCACGAGGGTGGAAAAAGTGCGAGAAAAGCAAGATCATCCGATTAGAGTGGAAATTAATTGACGCGGACAGAGCATATGCTGCACACTCACACCCACTCTTAATGGCAACTCGAGGAGGACTTTAATGGCATTTTTTACTATCAATTTTCAGTAGACTTTCCCTTTTCAGTGAAGTAGAACGAGTTGTAAATACGCATAATCAGTTTTATATTGAATTAATATTGACATTTTCATCAGAATTTAAAAACATTCTCGATCGTCTTACGAGAATTTCAGAAGAAATCACGAAGAAAGTGTGATACAAAATTTCTTGAAAATCACTTTTCAGGAAATTTTCAAATCATAGTCTAAGCAAAACAACATTAAGCGTTTATAAAACAATCAAAATAAAAGACTTTAACTCAAAATTTGCTGAAAAAACTCTAAAAATTGATATTATTTAAATCTGAACTACATTTTTTGTAGTTATGATTTTCTTTTGTACATTTTGAACCCTTTTTCATTACTCAAACACCAAAATCGCTATTTTTATTGAACAGAAATGCTCAAAATCTGCCAATAAATAAGATTGTTTCCAATTTGATCGTCAGTATTGATGTTTTTGACGGTTATTTTCTTACATAGTTCTGCTTTAATTAGTCGTATAATCTAAAAAAATGCTTTGATGAACTATTTTGAAATATTGCAAATATTGAAACACTTCCACTTCTTAAGTATTTCTGATGATGTACAAATTCCTAGATATTATATTACATAAAAATATAAATAAATTCTTATGTAGAAATATAATCCCCAAATAGTGATCAATTAATCTCATAATATCTCTGAATATTCTGTCATGGAAAAAAGTTTAATAACTTGCATAAAGAGTTAGAAATTGATTGATGACACCAACAACAGAGCAAATCCTTATTGACTTGTATGCAAATAGGGGAGGAAGAACGAGGAGATGCAGGGAAAATTAATCATATTGGGCCTCCTTTCTTGGCCCAATGGACGCCAGAGCAGGAAAAAAGGGATTCCTGTCACCGCGGAACAGATCCCGAAGGGGTGCGTCAATGGCATAAATGCGATTGACATCGTTCGGGATTTCCCTCACGTAACAGGGATGATGGTAAATGAAAGTGACTTCTGTGCCTGACAAATTATCATCCACTTGCAGCCTTTTTGCATTTCGACCGTGGCGCCGTGAAAAGGAGTGAATGTGACGCAAAGGACAATCATAAAGTCATTAATGCTAATTCCAAATTGATCGGATGCACACGGAATTTATGACGGATTACTGCAAAATTCACATCTTCGCCAACGTTAATTGTCTTCTCGTGACTTTTTTCTGCTCGTTGGCATTTGACATTCCTTCCTTTTTTCGCGCCAACCATATTTCGTCGCCCAGACACCGCACATGAAAGTGAATCTCCTAGAATTACGCAATGATTGATGCAAATGCGCATTCGGCGTAAAATAGAGATTCATTCCATGCTTGATGGATGAGTTTGGAAATTCCACATGCTCCTGGGGATGAATATTAAAATTCTGCCCCTGCCGAAGGGAGTGCGTCAAACTTCTCTCGCGACACGTCGCATAAGGAGGAAGAAGTGACAGAAATCCCCAGAGAAAACATACATTTAGAGAAAAAAATCGAGCCAAAAGTAAGATGATTTTGACTAGTTACAAGACCATTCTTAACCAATGAAAACAAGGCATTTTATTCCTTGATTTAAGTCTTAATTCTTAGAGGAACTCTAAATTTCAATGTCAATTCAAGTCCATTTCAGTCTTAAAATCAGTATTTTTTCGCTTAGAATGAAGCATTAAAAATGTTCCTTTATATTTGTTTGCGATAAAGTCTTGTGATTATGAAGAAAATTCCTTGTTTTTAGTCAGAAATCGACTTGGTTTTATGATATTTACTAAATTTTAGTCTTTTTCAGTGAAAAAAAAATATTCCAATTTTTTTTTTTAATTAGAATAAGGTTTTAAAAATAAGGTAGAATATTAAGCCGAAAGGAAAGTCTAGAAGTGAAATTAGTCTTTGAAAATTTTTATTTTACATTCATTTGCCGAAAAAACTTGAAATTAATCGATAAAGGTATTGATTTTATGCGAAAACCGACAAGAAAAGGTAAAAACTCAAATTTTTGACGATCAAAAAGCTTGAAATCAAGAAGATTCAGGCAATTTTCAAGACTTCTTTGGAACTGAAGCTCAAGAATACTCATTTCATAGTTCAAGAACTAGGTCAAAAAACACATTCAAAAGTAATACGATGAA